CTCTCTCTCTCTCACACACACACACACACACACACACACACACACACACACACATCAGTGTTGCACTTCTCTGACCAGCAGGAAAGTGCCAGGTGATAGAATGAATCATTCAACACTTTCCTTAGTACAAAAGCTCTGAACCCTGCCCTGTCCTGAGCCAGTCTCACTAATTCTGACACACCAACCCCAATTGCCCCAATCACTGTATCAATATATCTCATTCGGGGTCTTGCTCTCCTGCACCTCCACCCTTCGAAGGATGATGTCCTTCTCTGAGGACTGGTCTCTCCTGGCCGTGTGTCCAAAGTAAGTGAGACAGAGCTTCAAAATCCTAGCTTCCAAGGAGAAATTTGATTTCACCCTCTCCAAGACAGACATATTTGTTTTCTTGGCAGTCCATGGTACGTTCAAGACTCTTCTCTAGCACCACAACTTAAAGGTAAAAATTATTCTTCGGTCATCCTTAGTCATTGTCCAGCTCTCTGATGTATAGCAAGTAATTGCAAAGACTATGGCTGGATTAGGTGCACCTTGGTCTCTAGACTGACATCGTTGCTCTTAAGTACTCTAAAGAGGTCCTTTTAGTAGACTTTCCCTATGCAATTCACCTTTTGATGAAGCTATTAACAATCTCCATCTCTTCTTCATCCATCATAAAGCTGCTAATTGGCCCAGTGATGGGAATCTTTGTTTTCTTGATGTTGAGCTTCAATACATATTGAAGATTACAGTCCATGACCTTATATAGCAAACGCCTCCTGTCCTCTTCAGTTTCAGCAAGCAAGGTTGTGTAATCTGCATAGGCAGTAATACTGTTTCTAAGTATTTTATCCTTCATTTCTATACTTGGAGTGAATGGAGAGGACCATCAGTCTGCCCCCTTTGATGTCTGCTTTCCAGTACTCAGTGATTGTGAGAGTCACTCCCTGTGCCCTTTCTCACTGAGGTGTTTATGAATACAGTGGTATAATTTCTGGTGGACTCATGATGTATTCCTTTTGAATACAATCACTGGAGTAGACCTGTTGGGTCACTTTCAAGCTCTCTCCACACACTTTTCCAAATGCTGTACCATGGTAACATTCCCACCAGCTACACTTGAGAATTCCACATACTCAACACTTAACAATGTCTTGAATTCTTACCACAAGTGTGCATTTGGACATCATTTTGAATAGCTGAGTAACGTAGCATGGATGTTCTGTTGAGTAATTGAATCCACCCACTACTGATAAGCATTTGGGTTGTTTCAAATGAACTTAAAATACAGTAATGAAAACATACAGTAATGAACATCTTTAAATGTATTTCTTTGTCATAGTCTTATCAGTCACCACCAATGAGTTTGTCTTTAGCTACGATAACATATACTGTATATTGAACAATATCATTAATAACAAAAATAACAAAAAAATAGCAAAATACTGCTGAAGATCGTTTAAAGAAACCAGCTAGAACAATACATAGATAGGGAACTGCCTGAAGTTCAAGCAGGATTTAGAATAAGCCATGGCACCAGGGATATCATTGCTGAAGTCAGATGGATCCTGGCTGAAAGTAAAGAATACCAGAAGAATGTCTGTTTCTGCTTTACTGACTATGCAAAGGCTTTTAATGGTGTAGATCATAACAAGTTGTGGCTAACATTGAGAAGAATGGGAATCTCAGAGCACTTAATTGTGTTTATGTAAAACTTTTACTGGACCAGGAGGTTACTGTAAGAACAGAGCAAGAGTTTAAAATTAAGAAGGATGTCAGGGTTGTATTCTCTCCAGTACCTTTTCAACCTGTAGATTGAGCAAATTATCTGAGAAGCAGGACTCTATGAAGAGAAACATGACATCAGGATTGGAGAGAGACTCATCAATAACCTGCATTATGCAGATGACACAACCTTGCTTGCTGGAAGTGAGGAGGACTTGAAGTACATGTTACTGAGGATCAAAGAATACAGCCTTCACAATTGGGCAATTAAAACAGACATTCGGATCGCAGGGAAGAAGAACAAACTGGGGAGGAGGGTGGAGAGAATGGTGTGGCAATGAAGGAGTGAAAGCCCAGAATCCCTGTGAATGTTCATTGAAACTGATAAAATTTAATAAAAAAAAAAAGAATACAGCCTTCAATATGTACTGAATCTTAGTGTAAAAAAGACAAAGATTCTGACCACTGGACCACTGGACAACATCATGATAGATGGAGAAAAGACTGAAACTGTCCACAACTTCATCTTTCTTGGATCCACAATTAATACCCTTGGTACAAGCAGTCAGGAAGTCAGGAGATGTACTTCCCTGGGAAAGTCTGCAGTTTAGGGACCTCTCCAAATTACTGAAGAGTAATAATGTCATTTTGAAGACTAAGGTGCGTCTGATTCAGGCTATGGTCTTTCTAATCACTTGCTATGCATCTGAGAGCTGGACAGCATATAAGAATGATAGAGGAAGAATTGATGCCTTTGAGCTATGGTGTTGGAGAAGAGTGCTGAACATCCCATGGACATCCAAAAGAACAAACAAATATGTCTTGGAAAGGGTGCAACCAGAGTGGTGTTTGGAGACAGAGATGATGTGGCTTCACCTATATACTTCAAACATGTTGATAGGAGGGGCTATTCCTTGGAGAGGGACATGATGCTCAGAGAAGACCCTCGACCAGGTAGGTTGACATGGTGACTGCTATAGTGGGTTCTAATGTGTCAGGAGGTGTGAGGATGGCACAGGATGGGACAGGGTTCAGATCTGTTGTTCATAGGGTCGCTATGAGTTGTACTTGACATGACAGCACCCAACACCACCACATGAAAACAGTAGAGTGAACTTCCTTGTACATTTGTCTTTGTGGATACATTTTTGGTAATTTAATGAGGACTTTTTATTTTGTTTGTTTTTTTTTTAATATTCCTTTTTTTTATATTGATCTTGGAGACAGAGCCAGCCCAAGGCAGTGTGACTGCACATCACAGGAGATGAAAATCTGAAAACTTCCTTCTTCAGGTTGGCTTCTGAGATTGTATCTTCTGCTTCTTCTCCAGCTCTATGACCCTCCAAGGTAGGAAGACAGGGGATCTGGTGGTCTATCGTGGGGATGAGGGTTTCAGTCAAACAAAGTACGTCATGTGTTAGGCATATCACAGAGCTGCTTAGTAGTGTCTAAATTCTCCGATGTTACTTCCGAGAGCCACAACAATATCTCCATGCTTATCTTGTCCATCTTTCCTTCTGTACTTGATCCATCATCTACGTGAGCCCACTAGACTCAATCATTTACCTCTTCATCCATTTCAACTCTTTTTATTCACACATCTGTTTATTCATTCAACTTAGATCAATCTACTCATTCATTCCCAATACTATCTTTCTAATCATGGACTCATCTCATCCACGAACATATCTGATTATCCACTCATTCACCCAATCATTTATCCATCTAAACATCTTTCTATTCACCCATTCACCTGTCCATCCAATCACCCACCCATCCATTCATGTTTTTGCCCTCTCATCTATCCACCAACCACTCAACAATCTGGTCTTCTAACCATCCTTTCACCCACCCATTTTTCTGTTCACCTGCTCACCCACGGATCCTTCCATTTGTTAATCTGCTCATTATCCATGCATTCACCTAGCTCCTAGGCACCCACACATTCACTCATTTATTTCCTAAATTATCCATTCAACCACCAAACTCTCTATCCACCCATCTGTCTACCTCATCAATCAACCCACCAATCACTCCATTGAGTTAATGTATCTTAATTTATCTATTTATCAACTCATTTATCACCCAAACTTACTCATCCTTGCTTCCACTCCACTTTCCATTCCGTCAACTTACCTGTCCATTCTGTCTCTAGTCATGCCTCCTTCTAACCCCCCAACCTTCAACCCATCAACCCACTCACTTACCAGTCAAGCTAGCCATGCCCCCTTGCACAGCCTGGCGCTAAGCCCTACAACTGCAATAATGACACAGAAGCAATTTAGTCCTAGGTCCCTCTAGGAATGCACAGTCAGTGGGTGGATGCAAATGACAATCTCTCTCTCACACACATGTACATACACACTTGTCGGGGTGGGGGGGGACCCAAACTAGAGCACTTCCAAAATGCCACTGTCACTGCTATACTTAGGATATGTCTGTTCAAGATGCAAAAGCTTTTTAAAAGGCAGGTAGATGGTTGGACACTCAGGTATGGGCACATCCTGTATATGCCAGGGCTGAGATGGCCCCAGGATAATGAGGGGGACACAAGTACAAAGAGGGGGCCAAGACAGAAGTGGCAACAGAAGGAAGGAGGAAGATAAGATGCAAGGCATCAAAAAAAGATTGTGGTGCTGCCTGAAAAGCCTACCCAGAGGGAGCCCCCAGACCCTGACGACCCCCCTGCCATCCCCACAGGCAGGGCTGAGCTCCCGAGGAACCAAGATAATGCAGCAAACGACATCGTCACAGCTCTCAGACAAGATGCCAACCAGTGAGGAGAGCTTCTCCCAGCCGCAGGTCACCCACGCTCCCCAGTCTCAGAAGGCACAGCTCCCTCAGGCCCAGCATGAGGCTGCCTCACCCCATCAGGCCCTTGAACAGCCGACAGACAAGAAGCAGCTGAAGTCACACCGCATCCCCCGCCTCCGGGCCGTGGTGGAGAGCCAGGCCTTCAAGAACATCCTGGTGGATGAGATGGACATGATGATGTCTCGTGCGGCCACCCTCATCCAAGCCAACTGGAGGGGCTACCAGCTCCGGAAGAAACTGATCTCGCAGATGATGGCAGCCAAGGCCATCCAGGATGCTTGGCAGCGCTTCAGCCACAAAGGCCTCTTCCATAAGCATGCCAAGAAGGTGGTGGAGGAGGAGGAGAAGGACATCCCTTTCCACCGCCCCCAGCAGGTGCGCTTCTTGTCCCAGCCTCTGGAGGGGCAGCCGAGCTTTCAGAAGAGCCTGTCTCAGCCCGTCATGGTTGACAAGGAGACCCAGTTCCCATTGTCGAACAATCTGCCCCCGTCTGCCCTCCAGGATTCTGCTTTTGTGTTCAGAAGCCCCAGCATCACCTTCCTGACTCCTCACACTGCACCCATCGGGTTTCCGTGTCCGATGCACGTAGACCCCAAGTACCAGTACCCCTGTGTGTTGACGAAGACCATCAAGAGCTCCTGCCTGTTCCATATAGAAGAAGACATTGCCAAGGGCCATCACGTGACGCCCAGTCCCAGCCAGGTAGGAGCTGTGGAGCTGGCCGTGTCCAGGAAGTGTGTCCAGGAGGGGCATGGACCCCACAACACCCACCCCCATGTCCATGTGGAAGCAGAGGCTCCAAGGCTCCCATACTCGGTGCCCACAGTGACTAGGAACCCACCCAGGACCTCATCCCAGACATGCTCAATGACCATGGCCACTAAGACTCCCCCCCAGACACGTCCAGCAGCTGCAGACACCAAGACTCCACCCCAGACATCCCCGAGGGGCATAATGACCAAGACACAGCACAGCAGTTGTTACGGCTGTTCAGCGGCCGCCATGGCCAAGAGCCCATCCCACACCTGCTCGATGACCAAGAATCCACTTCAGGCACGCCTGGTCACCACTGTCACCAAGAGTCCGACCCAGATGCGTTCAGTAACCACGCTCCTCAAGACTCTCTGCCTGCCCCCCACAAATAAAGGGAATCTGAAGGTGCCGTCTCACACAGGCGAAGCCAGTGAGGGCCTCAATGACTCAACCCCCATTCACGGGAACGCAGCCAAGGGGAAGGCCAACTTCACTAAGAAGTCAGCAGGCACAGCACTCAAGCCCTCCCTCCACGTGTGTGTAGCTTCAGAGAAGGCCAGGGGCTCATCCCAGGAAACCAGAGTGTCTCAGCCCCCAGCCAAGGCTCATTGGGAAGCTGAGAAAAGTAAGGTCTGTTCCCAGAAGCAGATGAAAACAGAAGGGTTATCTAAGACCAACTTGGGCACAAGAACATCCAGGACTCTGGCTTGGGCCAAGAGAGTTGAAGATCATAGCAAACCCGAAACACAAGCCCAAGGGAAAAAGGAGACACAGAGAGTCCATGCTGCAGGGGGTTCATCTGTTGACAGAGCTGTGGCCTCACGCCCGACTCAGCCAGCTGCTACACTGCCCAAGACCCATGGCCAGGCACATCATCACATCACGCAGGGCGAGACCCTTTCCAAGACGATCTCCAGGACCCTGTCCCAGTCCCAGCTGGTGTCTGGGCTGACCAGGGGCCAGTGCCAAACATGTGCTTCTGCCCAGAGGGAGACCAAGCAAGCTAGCACTCGGATTAAGATACCGGTCAGGCTAGCCACGTGCCAGGTCCAGGCACAGCAGACGAGCAAGCGGACTAACACCCAGGCTGTACACCAGATGCCCCCCAGACTCATCAAGACCCAGTCCCCGATCCAGATGGCCACTGGACCAACTCAGGTCCAGGTCCAGAGACCTTGTAGGTGCACCCAGAAAGTGCCTGAGTTGATAAGGAGCCAGATCCAGGCCCAGAAGCCCCCCGGGATGGCCAAATCCCAATCTCAGACCCCGCTGGTCACTGCCAAGACATCCGTTTCACCAGCCAAGACTGAGTCCCAGGCCCAGCATGTGGCTGAACTGACCAGGGTCCATGTCCAGAGAGGGACACCTTGTGAACTGAGCAGAATGCAATCCCAGGCCCGGCTGAGAACGGAACTGACCGAGGCCCAGCTGCTACCTGCTGGGTCGAGCAAAACGGAGTCACAGACCCAGAAGACCACCAGTCCAACCAAGGCCTTGTCCCAAAGCCGGTTGACCACAGAAATGGCCACTTCTCGTCATTTAACCAACCAGCCTGCTGATCTCAGCAAATCTCAGTCCCAGTCCCAGTCCCAGCCGGATGACAAACTGACCCAGGCCCCAGGCCCTAGTCTCACGCCGGGCAACGCTCTTCAGGGCTCTTCCTGCCCACCATGCCTGGACATTCAGGGCATGCTGGAGCCACTACTGGCTGGAGAGTCCTCCTCCTGCAGCACTGAGTCCTGGGGGAACGGCGAGGCGGCCCGGGCATCAGTGTCTGCAAACAGCCAGACAACGCTCAGCTCAGAGGAGGCGTCCACCTGCCAGCTGATGGCCTTGTGCGCCGAGCTGACCGCTGCACTGAGCTCCCAGGAGGACCTCCACTCATTGCTGTGCAAGGCCCTGTCACAGAGCGAGGTGCGGGCCGCCCTAAGCCAGGTCCTCTCCAAGGAGGTGCTGGGCACCACGCTGGCCAAGGCCATGCCACACGGTATACTGCAGGCATCTCTCGTCAAGGCCCTGTCCTGGAGTGAGCTGGGCACGGCTGCGTCCCACGCCTTGTCGAGGACTGAGCTGCGGACAGAACTGGCGAGAGTCCTGCAGGTCAGGCTCGCTGACGTGCTCAGCAAAACACTGACCGAAGACGAGCAAGTGGCACTGAGCCAGGCCCTGTGCCAGGGGGAGCTGGGCGCTGTGCTGAGCACATCTCTGTCCCAGGTGGCACTGCGCACTGCAGCCCTCTTTCCCCAGGGAGTCGTGAAAATGGCGGGCAGCAGTCCAGCAGCAGGGCCTGGCATGGTGGAGGTGGACTGCAGAGGGACTCCTTCAGACACTTGGAGACCCACCCTGGGGCTTTCAAGAATGGACCCCAACAAGGTCAGGGTCCTCCACCGTGGCGCCTGGGAGGAGATGGGGGATGGGGCTGCACTTGGGAGGTCACCCTGTTTGTTAGACATTTCCATGGGGGATTCCTTGACCGTCCACCAGTGTTTGCTCGGGTTAGGCCTGAACCTCCAGGTGGCCTGGGGGGCAGGAGCTGGCCTGTGCTTGAGGCCCAAAGTCGATGGGGGTAAGGTTTCGGCGTTCAGCAGCACAGGGCCTGATTTGCCCCAGCCATCTCACCTGTGGCCTTCCCGCAATCTTTGGCCACCCCTTCTTACCACTGGCATTGGCACCAGTGCCAGCCGACCATCAGTGGCTGGAGATACAACCCCCAACTCTCACATACCACGAGAGGCCAGCAGGGTGGCCCCTTGTGCATGGTCGTCCCTGGAGTCAGCTAGGGGGGCCTCGGGCAGGACTCTGAATCCAGTGGGTGACAGGAGGGACACGTGGTTCCACCAGCCATCTGTCATATGCAATAAGTCATCCTGCTGGTGTCAGTTCTCAGAGGTGAGCAGGGAGGCCCCCAGGATGTACCACCTTTCCACGGCTGGGCAGGTAGCCCCTGGATCACAGCCCCCAGATCACAAGCAGACGTCTATGAGCCCCAGGGACTTGCCTGGCAAGGGGATCTCAAGTTCACTGCCAGCTTGTTACATGAGCAGAGAGGCTCATGCTGATGCCCTGGAAGCACGTGGTCTTTCTCCGGGTCTTGTGGCACCTGAGATGCAGAGCCACCTGGTGGCTCAGGTCAACACCCAATTGTTTCAACCCCCTTTCGGCCTTGCTCAGACACCCATTCCTGTCCAGAAGAGCCCTCAGGCTTGGCCACACATATCTCCCACATCCCAACCCCAGGAGCTGAAGACTGGCTCTCAAATGCCTATGTTCAACAGGCTGATGGCCACCTCAAAAGGTGTCAGGCTGACCAGGAGTATCTCCGAGGCCTCTGAGGTCCATGGCATGGGCTGCAGCAATTCCCAGGGCTCTCTGCAGTGCTGCAGCTCAGCCAGTCTGTTCACCACGTCCATGGCCAGCTCGAATGCCATTGACCTAGTGGAAGAGCCCTCGGACAGCAACCTTGACAGCGATCCACAGATGCATCCCCTGCTCCCTGGGATGGCTACAGGGAAACTTCAGAGGCCCAGGGAGAAGGAGGAGGCTAATTGGACTCAGCCCAGGTACACCTACTCCAGCCTATGCCAGCCCACTATGGCCTTGGGGCTGGGGCACAGTCTATACCATGGACTAGTGGCCAGCCCTATGTCCTTTAGTATCTACCAGGGCTCAGAGAGTGATGTACCCTCAGATCTAGGCTCCACTGACAAAAGCAAGAGCTTGCAGAAGGCATCTGGGAGCGTAGGGCTGGTGAGGAGCTTGTCTTTGGAGTCTGTGACCCACATCTTACATCAACAGGCCAGACAAGTCGAGGATTCTGTGGGCAAGAATAGAATGGCTTCCAGTCTCTCTTACCCATCTGTGGCTGGTGGGCTGGCCCCCAGCTCCTCCCACTTACCCACAGCCAATAGGGAAGCTCCAACTCTTTTCCATTCATCTGTGTCCAGGAGAGTGGCCCCCAACCTCACCCACCCATCTGTAGCCAAAAGAGTGGCCCCAAGCCTTGCCCAGTCATCTGCAGCCTCTGGGGTCACACCCAGCCTAGCTCAGCCATCTGAAGTCAGCAGGGTGGTATTCAGCCCCTACCATCCCTCTGCAGCCACTGGGGTGATCTCTAGCCCAGCCCAGAGATCTGAAGCCAGTAGGGTGGCCCCCAGCCTAACTCAACCACCTGCAGTTGGTGGGGCAGTTAACCCCTTCCATGCCTCTGCAGCCAGTCAGGTGGCCCTCAACTTACTCCAACCATTTGCCACCAGTAGGGTGGCCCCCAATCTAACAAGACCATCTGTACCCAATAGGACCCTCAGACTCTCCCACCCCTCTACAGACAGTAGAGTTCCCCCAAAGCTCTGCCACCCCTCTTCAGCCAGTGAAGTGGCCCCTAACTTAGCCCAACTATCAGTGACCAGGAGGGTAACATTTAGCCCATCCCCATCCTCTGTAATCAGGAAGGTGACCCCCAGCCTAGCCCAGCTATCTGTAGCCAATCGGTACCCTAGTCTGTCCCACCACTCCAGGGACAGTGGGGTGGCTCCTAGCCTAACCCAAGCATCTACAGCCAGTAGAGGGACCCCCAGCCTCTACCACCCCTTTAAGACCAGTAGGAAAAGCCGAGATTTAGTCCACCCAACTTCTGCCAGTAGGGTAGCCCCTAGACTAGATCAACCAACTGCAACCAGTGGAGTGGCCGCCAGCCTTGCCCAACAAGCTACAGACAGTGGAGTGAACCCCAGCTTAGTCCAACCATGTGCAGCCAGTGGAGTGAACCCCAGCCTATCTCAACCAACTACAGCCAGTAAGGCTTCAAGCTTCTCCTACCCTTGGGAGGCCAGCAGGGTAGCCCCTAGTCCAAACCAACCATCTACAGTCAGTAAGATGACCACCAGCTTCTACCACTTCTCTGTAGACAGCGCAGTGGCCCCCAGCCTCTACCATCCCTCTGCAGCCAATAGAGTAACTCCTCCCCTAACCCATCCATCTGTGACCAGTAAGATAGCCCCTGGCCTGCCCCATCCGTTTGAGACCAATGAGGTAGCTCTTAGTGTAGCCCAACCCTCTGTAGCCAGTAGGGATCCCAGCCTTTCCCGCCCTTCTTTAGCCAGTGAGGTGACTCCTGATCTAGTCCATCCATCTGTAGTCAATAAAATGCCCCCCAGCCTCTCCCATCCATCTGCAGACAGTTGGATGTCTCTCAGCTACTCGCAGCTATCTGTAGTTAATAAGGTGCCCACAAGCCTAGTCCAGTCATCTGAAGTTCATACGATGACCCCTAGTCTAGCATCAGTGGCCAAAAGAGTGGCCCCAAGTGTGTCCCAGCCATCTATGGCCAGTAAGAAGGGACCTAGTCTAGCCCGGCCATCTGCAGCCAGTGTAGTCGCTCCTAGCCTGGCATCTGTGCCCAGAAGGGTGGCTCCAGGTGTATCCCAGCCACCTGGACCTGGTAGCAGGAGTCATGGTGCTGATCAGGCAAATGTGGCCTCTAGGATAGATTTGTCCATGGTGAAAGCAGTGGCCCCGTGTTTGCCTGACACATCCACAGTTTTGGGGGCCACACCGTCTGCAGGCACTGTGAGCTGCGTTCAGAACCAGTCTTCTCCAGGCACTTGGGCGGCCCCAAGTCATGATACTTTAGTGGATAGTAGGGTGACTTCCAGACCCTGGAACCTCAACTTTAGTGTGGAACACCAGAGCGTCAGCCAGGCTGCCCCAGTCACTGTTTCTACAACAAACCTTCATCAGGCCTCTGTAGCCAGTGGCAGGGTGACTGATCCGGGGCATGGGGTCAGCATATTTCAGGAGAATCTACACAGAGGAATGGCCCCAAGTATGTCCCAGGGAAATGTGGCTGCTGATATAGCCCCAAATACATCTAAAGGTTCAGTCACTACTGATACGGCGCCAAGTATATCTCAGGGCATAGTGGCTCCTGGAATGATCCCAAGTATATCTCAGGGGACAGTGGCTGCTGGCATGGCTCCAAGTATGTCTTGGAGGAAGGTGACTGCTAGTATCGCCCCAGATATGTCTCAGGGGACAATGGCTTCTGGTGTGGCCCCAAATAAGACTCAGGGGACCACTGTTGATGGCATGGGCCCACGTAAGTCTTGGAGAAGGAAGGCTGGTATGGACCCAGGTCAGTCTCATGCTCCTGGTGGCTTGGCTCCTGTTGCATCCTGGGTTTCTGAGGCCAATGTGCCTTCAGCTCCTAAACAAACCTCAAGGGACCCTGGCTTCTCTCAGCCTTCATTATCCCACAGACTGCATAAAGACTCTTTGCCCAGAGGGGACCCCAGGATGAGTCATCGGAGTGTCCATCTGCAAGCAGCCTTCGATTATCAGCAGTCTGTGGCCATAGTTGCCTCACTCAGTAACCAACAAGCAAACGGTCTCCAGCAGGGGTCTATAATGGACACAGCAAGTGATCAGGTGTCAGACTCTGTAGTCCGCAGGCTGACCACAACCACGGCACTAGGTTCTGTGACCAGTGGCTCGTCCCGTTGTTTTGTTCCAGGATCCGTGATCTGGGGCATGGATCAAAATACTTCCTCAGAGTCTATGATAAGTGATATGTCCCAGATCCGTCCCACGAGTTCTGTAATCAGTAAAACAGAGCAGGCTTTCCCACCAGGGTCTACAATCGGTAGCATAGCTCAGATCCTTCCTCCAGGTTATGTGCCCAGTGATGTGGCCCAGACTTCCCCGCTGGGGTATGCGGTCAGTGGCATGGCACAGACTTCTCCCCCAGGATCTGTGGCTAGTGATGTGGACCAGACCTTTTCCTCAGGTTCTGTAGCTAGTGACATGGCACAAACCCTTCTGCCAGGTCTGGTAGCCAGTAACGTGACTCCGACCAGTCTCCTAGAATCTGAGGTCAGTCATGAGGCCCACACTTTCCTACCAGGATCAACAATCAGAGGCACAGCCCAGACCCTTCCCCCAGTATCTGTGGCCAGTGGTGTGGCCCAGGTCCTCGCCCCAGGATCAGTGGCCAGTAATGTGGAACATACCCCTCCTCCAGGACCTGTGGGCAGCGGGCTAGCCCAGGCCCCTCCTCCAGGAACGGTGTGTGTGGTCGGTGGTGTGGCCCAGACCCTTGCTCTAAGTTCTGTGGCTTTTGATGTGGAACAGACTCTCTCTCCAGGATCTTCGGCCAGTGGTGTGGCCCAGATGTTTCCACCAGGTTCTACAATCAGTGACATATCCCAGACCTTTCTCCCTTGTTCTGTGGCTGGTGGTGTGGCCCATACTTTCTCACCAGTTTCTACAATCACAGACATGGTGCAGACCCTTCCCCGAGGATCTGTAATCAGTGGCATGGCCCAGACCCCTGCCCCAGAGTCTATGGTCAGTGGTGTGGCCCAGATTTCCCCCCCAGGATATGTGGCCATTGATATGGCCCAGACCCCCCCTCCAGAATCTGTGGCCAGTGGTGTGGCCCAGACCCCCCCTCCAGAATCTGTGGCCAGTGGTGTGGCCCAGACCCCCCCTCCAGAATCTGTGGCCAGTGGTGTGGCCCAGACCCTTCCCCCACAATCTATGGCCACTACTTTCACCAGGACTCTACCTTCAGATTCTGGGGCCAGTGGCGTGACCCTCAGCTCAGTGACTGCAGCTGTCAGTGGTGGGAAAAGGCAGAATGTGTCTGTTGGACCTCCGGTGAGCAGGTCTGCTCCAGGTCTGTGCCCCAGTTCAGTAACAAGCAGAATGACTTTAAATGTACCTCCTGGTTCCATGGCAGCTGGGGAGGCCTCAGGGGTGCCTCCAGCATCGGTGGGTGGGGAGCTGAGTCAGAACTTGGTGGCAGGACCTATGGCTAATGTGACCAAAGTGCCTGTCGGTTCTCTGCTGATTAGGATCACACCATGTCCTTATTATGATCCCGTAACTGGAGAGGGGTCCTTGGCCCCTTTCCCGGCTGCTAGTACAGCTCAACTACATCTTCAGATCTTAGAAGCCAATGGTATAGCTGGGAGGCCACACCAAACGCCCACAGTTCCGCCGAGAGCATCCCAGATGGACCAGGATGTTGGAATGATGCCTTCTGAGGCCACAGAGAATCAGGCCATGTTGAATCCAGAACATCTGGGTGAGGAGGTCTGGTCTCGGGTCTTAGAGTCTTTCCAAGGGTCCAATGACTTTAACAGCAACTCTTTGATCCTAGAGGGAACCCTGTGGATGTGCCAGGGATCCATGGAGTCTGACAAGGCAAATGATGGCAAGCATCTGCCAGAGGAGGGGGCTGCCAAGGTGCCCCAGATGCCACTCCTGGATGGGGCAGCAGCAAGCCATGCCGAGTCGACAGCCAGTGGTGAGGCTGAGGCTCGGGCCTTTCTCCCAGGTTCTGTGGTCAGTAGCGTAGCCCTCACTCCCTCACAGGCCTCCAGTTTAGCTAAGCAGTCCCTGGCTGGAAGCACCCCCCGAACCCTGCAGCCGAGATCAGCAGCCAGAAGTAATACCGCCAGAAGGGGGAGAAGTCCAGACAGGAGACATGTGGTTAATAGGGTCACGAGCCAGGCGCAGAGGACTTCCGGAGTCCCTCCAGACCTTCCTGCAGTTCCTCAAAGCCTGTCCCAGGCGACAACTTCCACTGCCACCTCCACAGCACCCCAGCTGCCCCATGACAGCTCTGTGGCCCCTAGCCTGCCCCAGGTGTCCACAGCCCCAGGGTCTCCAGGTCTTCCGCACTGGCCCGGGGGCTCTAGCATGGCTCCCCATGTACACCAACCACCTTCCCTAGCAAGTAGGACTGGATCTACTCAATTCCAGATGGACCCCAAGCCTGGCACACCCCTGTCACCCCTGGCTGAGGAAGTGGCCCAGGGCCCCCGCCTTGAGCCCACCAGGAAATCCTTCAGGTCTGTTCAAAGCAGCATCATCTCTCAGATGCTCAAATGCTCCCTGGTCAACTTGGTGCCACCCCACCAGGTGCAGGAAAAGCCCACCCAGCTCACACAGGGTGGTTCCAGGTGTACAGCAGGCAGCCCACACCCGGGCATCTTCCGTTCAAGTGACCAGGCCCAGGGCGCGGCCATGCCAAGGATCCGCTGGGGCACCCAACGAGTATCCCTGGGTTATGAGTCTTCTCCTGGCAGCTCCAGGCAGCCCCTCTTTCTCCAGGAATCTCTGCCAGAGGATTTCCACTCTCCTCCGGTCCCTCCTAACAGCCGCAGCCCCTCCCTCAACTGCAAAGTCCTCCAGGGCCTCAGAGACGCCGGCGTGGCCGATGGTCAACCATGGAATGCCACTGTCCCCGGCATCGTGGCTGGGCCCAGGGACAGCACTGAGGGCCCCAGGAGTGCACTGCAGCCAGCCAGGGACATGGAGCCGTGGGTCCCTGCAGCGGTCCCCCCAGTGGACTCCAGGAAGTCAGGGCAGCTGTTGGTGTCAGCACAGACTGTAGAGCAGCTGTTCATCCAGGCGGTGACCGTCATCCAGGCTCACGCCCGAGGCTACCTGGTGCGCCGTATTATTAAAATCTGGCACTACAAAGCCACCATCATCCAGGTAGCATGGCGCAGCTATACGCTACGGAAGCAGCTGCACATGGCTGCGCAGACCCTCCAGCTGCAAGACCAACAGATGCTGCAGCAGGACGCGTGGGCAACACTGGAAGACAGTGACAGGCCGCCATCGGAGCACCGGTGCTTCCAGTGCTGTCAGCTGCTCTCCTGTGCCCTCTGCCAGAGGCTGAGCCCCCAACTAGGGAACTCGCCTAGCGTGGTCCTGCTGGTGGGCTCCAGTTCCCGCACCTGCCATATGTGCGGCCAGTCCATGCTGACCCGTGTGGTGCAGGGCACTGGCCAGGGCACTGGCCGGGGCACCAAGAGCCAGGAAGATGCTACGCTGTCACAGAGTGCCCACGACGCCCAGGTGCCCCCCGACTGCCCCCAGCTCCCACACCACCACCGTGACAAAGCGGCCACAGCTATCCAGTCTGCCTGGCGGGGCTTCTGGACCCGACGCGTCCTTAGACAGCAGCAGGTGGCCGCCAGAAGGGTACAAGCAAGCTGGCGAGGTCACTTCACCCGAAGCTGCCTCACCACGGACGCCCTCCTGGAGTCAGGGACGCCATCGGACCACCGAAGGCACAAAAAGGGCCCCACGGTCTAGGAGCGCCTGCTGGCTCTCTTGGGTTGGTGAATAAAGTCCTTTGCAGCCCTGAATGCAAGCTGCTTGGTTTCATGTCCGTGCTCCGTTAATGGGGGTCGTGGGGGGGGGACCTGGAGTTTCCCGGGAGAAGGAGCTCTAAGGCTTCCAAATGTCCCATTTGTACCCCAGGGCCTGTGGCCAGAATGGGGACTCCAGTCTTTGTGGAAGTTAGGAGCTACAAGCCTGATTTTTCCTGTGCTACTGTGTCTGTCGCCAGCCAGCCAGGCGGTGGCAGCTTTTCCAGTTAGAGGCTGTCTCCGGCACACCCTGTATGCCTGTGGTTGGGGACATGGTCTCCAGCAGTCCCTTGGGTGCCTATGTCTAGCCATGCTAGGAAGTTCCACCTGTGTGCTGCTTTGGGCATGTTGGGCCCATCCGCGACAAATTCTCTGTCTTGGAGAGAGCTGGACTCAGACACCTCAAAAGGCAGGTCAGGGACAGAGAAAGGAAGCTGGGGCTCCTGGAGAGGCTTGCAAGAGGCCTGCCTGACTGGTACTATTGCAACCAGTCAAGGGTAGGGGTTGCGTGTGGAGAGCCCCAGAGGGTGAGTGGAAAGGTGGTCTGTATGGGCCTAGAGGCAGTTCACAGAGGTAAGGAGAGGCTGGGGGAGGACGGCCCTGGGAGATTGGGGAAGGCAGCGGTGGACTGAGTGGGTGGACACAAGATGAGGGTTCGGAATCGGGACAGGCTTTGAGGAGAGGCGGGGTCGAGGTGGAGGGGTACAAAAAGGGCCGCTCTAGGGACAGCCTTGCCCCGCCCCTCCAGCCACGGGGGCGTTGCGGGGCCCCGCCTCTGCATCTATGCTCCTGCGCAGCCCCGCGCGCCGTCAGCAGGGGGCGCGTGCAGGCGGAGAGCCCGCACACCTGGACACACACCTGTGCAGACGCCGGAGGCCCTCGCGGCGCTGGAATGGCTGACACGCAGCCACCGCCGCCGCCGCCGCTGAAACCTGGTGCGATTCCCAACACCGTCATCTCCGTGGGTAAGGACAGGGAGGAGGGGGCCAGGATTCCAGGGAGCTGGGGTGCACATTCTGGCCACTCCTGTGGTGATTGGAACTCTCTTGATTCTTTGAACACCCCCCCACACACACACACCCCTCAAACCCATAGAGCTATCTTTTCCCCTAGAAGCGAGTGGGAGAGGAATCATGGGAATATTTGGAGCGCCTCAGGCCAACCCGAGGCCTCCCCTCTTCACCTCCCCAGATGAGCAGCTCAGCTGGTGGCTATGAGGACCTATCAGGCTCATTTCAGACTGATAGCCCAGCCTCCACCAGGAGGGGATAGAGACCCAGAGTTTGAGGCTGGGGCGGAGATGAAGGACAACAGCTTTCTTTCCGGGGAGATCAAGTGCCTATGATCCCTCCTTTGCCCATTTAAGTTCTCCCTGATGTCCAACTTCCTTCCTGCGACCCTGTAAGATTATTCCCAGGGTGGAGAACAGTCAGTTTTGTAGACAAGTCATGTAGTGAGCGAGCTTCTAGCCCGTTGACCAAATGCCTACAAGTGTCAGAGCAGAGGCCACTGTGGATGAGAAGAGACCCTAACTACAGGCAGAGTCTTCATTCTGAAAATTCCAGGTTCACCTCCATTTCCTGGCTCAGGAAATGAAAGCTTGGGCCAGCTGAGGTCGCCAGCCTGTGCCAGATTACGTATGACTAGGACCAGTTTACTTGGTTCAGCTTCCTGGTCTAGGAATCTCTGGAAAAGCAAACATCTTCACAATATGGACATAGAGTTTTCCTTTACCCTCTCCAGAGCTCTCGTGATGTGGTGGCAAAGGCTGTGCTGCCAGTCTGAAAGGACGTGGTGTGAATCCACCAGCTTCTCTGTTGAGAGCAGGACGGGCAGTCTCCTCCAGTGGAGGCTGCAGTTCTAAAAACCTGCGGGAAGGTCAGCTAGGAGGGGGTTCCACCTTGATGGCAGTGAGTAATGAGTTACCTCCAGGAGCGCCTAGCGTGGGCCAGTGGCTCAGAAGGGCCATGTCTGACACTACCTCCTCTACCAAGGCCCATCAGGTTTCCCCCAATTTGCTTTAAAATGTTCAGCTAGCCAGAGTTCTGGCTTGGTTTGTAGTCCACTAGGACCCCGGAGTCATCTTCATTTCAAAAGAACCTGATGATTCTTCCTCAAATGGTGATGGGAGGCAGTCTGGGGTGATTGACCTCTTAGTCCTTCACTCTTTTGATGTCCTTAGAAGGAGGCCCTCCTGCTCACCTTCCCAGTTACCCCAACACCAGGCTCCCTACTACTATGAAGGTCAGTTTCCTATTTTAAAAATAGGATAAAATCAGGCTGAAGCCCCACCTCCCCACTCCCTCTCATCTTCTGGATTATCTGCTTATCTGTCAGCAGACAGAAAGGGAATGGAGTACAGGAGTTCGGACCCAGCCTCCTCCTGGACCGAGTGTTATTTCCATATTTCCGGTGCCCAGGTTAGGAGAGGGAGAAAATTCAAAGATCAGTCAAGGTGGAGAGAGTGGAAGGAGGGCAGGGAACTATTAATGAATGGGCCTGGGAGTTAATGAGATGCCTCACAGCCTGAAACCTGGGTAGGAAATAACTGTGGGACATGGCCTGTGAAATATTTACCTACTCCCTAGCCCAGCCTCTGGGCTCCATGCCTGGGACTGGGCAGGAGCTAGGGAGTGTCTACAGAGTGGCAGTGGGGTGGGGTTCAGACATGCAATGCCTCTCAGTACCAGGCCTCTGTGACCCCTAGTAAATCTCTGAAGACTGCCCAGCTAACTGAATTCTGATTCCTGGTTACCTGTGTGTATCAGAGCAGAACTATGTTTCTGTTGTTGTTGTTACGTGCCACCTGCGACTCATAGCAACCCTATGTACAACCCCAGTTACTGTATCAGTCCATCTCACCCCGGGTCTTCCTCTCGTGTGCTGTTCTGTCCCTCCACTCTTCCGAGAATGATGTCCTTCTCCAAGAACTGGTCCCTCTTGGCCACATGCCCAAACTATGTGAGACAGAGTTTCAAAATCTTAGCCTCCAAGGAGAAACTTGGTTTCATACTTTCCAAGACAGACCTATTTGTTTTCTTGGCAATCCATGGTATGTTCAAGGCTCTTCTCCAGCACCACAACTCAAGGGTATCGATTCTTCTTCTGTCATCCTTAGTCATTGTCCAGCTCTCTAATGCATAGCAGGTAGTTGGAAAGACCATGGCCTGCATCAGGCACACCTTAGTCTCTAAACTGTTTCTAGGATTTTCAAAAATAGACTGCCAAGCCTTCCTTTCAAGGCGCATCTGGGTAGATTCAAATCCTCACCCTTCTGTTAACAGAATGTTTTGCTTAACTGTTTGCACCATCCACGGATGGAATATAATTAGAACTGTTCATTCACCTCAGCTTTGCCCCTGCCTGCTCCTTCCCTGGGAGCTCAAGATAAATCTGCGCCGTTAATCTTGACTGTATCTGCTACCTGTTTGACCCAGGTGAGCGCTCAGTGGTAGTGACTTCCCATAAGCTCCATTCGCCAGAGAAGGAAATCGTTCTGGATGGTGTAGCAGATCGGCTGGTGCCCCACCTCAGTTACACTATTCCCCATATCCAAGGGCAAGACTGGGGGCTGGGAAGGCCTAACCTATTTCCCCCTGTGTTCACATGGGATCTTAACAGGAAAAGAGACTGTGGAGAAGAGCAGAGACCTGACCCAGAACACCCCCATAGCCTGTCCCTAATTGCCTGCTCCTCCCTTGATCTTTTCTTTCCAGGTATTACCATATTATTGCTCTTGAACCAGACAGAAGGGACCTCAGCTCCCAGCCCTCTGCCCTCTTCCCTTCCCACTCACAGCTCCCTGAATACAGGGGAAACATCCATCATTAGCACTGGCACCCCAAGTTCAGGGACAAGCTCCTCCCAAGGCACCACAAGTGTAAGGGAATCCACACACCCCCACCTCAGCAGGCAGACTTCAGGGGAACACACCACCCTGTATTTTAGCACTCCAAGTTCAGAGACAGACTCCACCCACATCACTCCAAGTTTGCAGGAGTCCCCATCCACTAACTTCAGCACCCAGAGTTCAGGGGAACCCTCCACCACATACTTAAGCACCCCAAGTTCAGGGACAGACTCGACCCACATCACCACAAGTTTGAGTGAGTCCCTATCCACTCAACCCAACATCCAGAGCTCAAGGGAGCTCTCTACTATGTACTTAAGTACCCCAACTTCAAAGACAACATCCTACCAAAACTCTAGCCCCCCAATTCTAGACTCATCCCTATCGCCCACTCCCAATACCTCCTTGACCCCACACTGGAGCTCCACTTCCTTCAGTCTTGAGACACAGTCTCCCAGCACGATTTCCAAAATAACCGTCAGGACTACCTCCTCCCCTGGACCCCGTGAGTACCTTGGAGTTGTGGGGGGGCTGGGTGGCACATTAAGGGTAATAGGCTGTAGTTCTTATAAGTGGCCACCAGGGGGAGCTTCAGAACTGGAACTATACCTGGATCTCTTGCCCTCCCTCCCTCTCCCTCCCTCCCTCTCCCTCTCCCACCCTGTCCCTCTCCCTCCCTCTCTCTCCTCTCACACACGCTTGTGTCTTGTTTGTGCCAGGGCCTGGGGATACTGCTATGCACAAGAGAGACAAAAATCTGTATAAGTGAGCCAAGTAATAGATAAGTAAATTATAGATTTGTTTATAGATTATGATAAGAAATTAAATTGTAGGTGCCCATGAAGGAGCCATGGAGGTAAGTATCTGGGGGAAGAGGACCCAGGTAGAGGCACAGCCAAAGCAGTGGTATCCAGGTAGGAACAGGCCTGATGCGCTTGTGAAGAGGCTGCTGGGGTTTGTGCTGGAGGCAGTGGTTAGGTGGGAAGATACAAACTCAGCCGGGCCCCAGGGTTTCCATAGATGCCAAGAATCCAGATACTATTAGTGATGTTAAAGAGTCTAGAAAAGAAAACAGCCCACAAGCCCAACCACAA